TTATTCTCTTGTAACACCTCTAATCTTCTGGCGCTCATATGACCTTATGCACTTGCGAGCGCCGTTAAACCTCTACTAAAAAAAAAAAAAAGAAATAGGAATTTTTTCATCCAGTTGGCCAACTTCAGTCAAATTTTTGTATTTTGGCCAAGCACCTTTTATGTCAATATAAAAATTCATTAAAATGTCAATTTTACTGAAAAACATTGATTAATGGCACAACATTTGTAAATTTTAAGTTTTCAAGGACTGTCCAGCTATAGCAGTTACAAATTCCATTTTCTCGCAAATTTTACCTCAGAAAAGAGGCTACCCACGACCTCCTTCATCACAAATATCTCGACTTCTATTCAAGATAGATGGGTATATTTTTCACCCTAAAGAAAGTACAAGTAAACAAGCTTTTAAGATTATGCCAATAACTCTATATTGCCCAAAAATTGACGGGCGCCTGATTCAACCGCGTCGTAACACATATTGTCTTTTTTTTGTTTTTTGTAAGTGTTTTACGGCGCTCGCAACTGCATAAGGTCATATGAGCGCGCGGGACACACATAATACTTTTAGTTGGTAGGAAATTTTGAATTTTGAGCGGGTGGCGGCCGAAGCCTACTCTTATCGATTTTAGACTACCAAGGGATCTTTAACGTGCGCAACTTGCAGACGGGCCCTCCGAGATTTTTCGCCCTTGTGCAAGAAGGCTAGGTGTAGATCTTTCGAACCTGAAGATCAGGGGTGTGGCAGAAAGACAGCTGTAAGAAGGAGTCAAGGAGTAGCAGTAGAAAGGCTGCAGAAAGAGTCAGGAGCCCGGAGGAGGGGGCAAAGGAGGTGAGGGGGTGGGGGCAGAAAGAGGAGACGAAAGCAGACGAAAGAATATTGCTAGAGAGCAGGAAAGGAGGTGAAAGGGGACAATTTTAGAGAAGAAAATTGTTTTGGTCGCTACCCGGATTCGAACACGGGACCTTTGAATGAGAGGCCAACACCAAACCTATAGGCCACGAGAGACCCCTTAATATTGTCTTCCTGGATTGGTAGGTGTCATGCTCGAACATGGTGATTATCAGTGGCGCTCGTGGTTTGTGAAACTGAACGGCAATCATTGCTATCATTCATACTGACACCCCCCGCCCCACCGCACACACACACACACCACCCCCCCCCTACCTCAACCTCACCGGCTATCATTCATATTGATATCACATTCCTATCATTCTTTTGCATGTTGTATGTTTGTCACTCTCTTGTAAACAGCCAATTCCGTGGTGCCTTGATAGTCGAAGCAGACTTTGGGCTGTTGAGGCTAGAGAGGTAAGCTGAGTAAGCCTGATTTCCCGTTTGGACTTCTCTGTTGACACCCACCATTTGGCGCTTATATGACGTCATGCAGTTTTGAGTGCCGTAAAACCTTACTAAAGCAAACAAAACATAGTTTTACGTGAATGAACTGGGTGATTCTTGTTTATTTTTTAAAATTCAGAGCACTTCTCCAACTCCGTGGTCAAACCTGAGGATGAAAGTTCCAGTGATCAGCGCGGTATCGCTGCTGCTGGCGGTTCTCCCGGCCTTTTGTGTTGAAGCAGCGACGATCCCGATAACCATTAAAGAAAAATGGTACTATAGGTAATACATCTTCTTCTTCTTCTTCTTCTCGATCGCATCACACTTGAAGTCTGGTATCTGTCATAAACTGGGCCGTCCTGCTCAGTTCATCTGTCGGCCTGTATAACTTCTCTTGTAGCGTCTGTGGGGTTGGCCACGTTTCCTGTCTCAGGGCCCTGTGTGTCTTGCAGTGCTGAAAGATGTGTTCAACAGATTGGTCCGCCTCTCCACACTGGCATTTTGGTGATTGTGCTAGTTTAAAACATCTGTACATATGTTGTCTCAGTCTTGTGTGTTGTGTCCTTAGTCTGAAGATCATCACTTGTAGGTAATACATAATGCATAATAATAATAATAATAATAATAATAACAATAATAATAATAATAATAATAATAATAATAATAATTTTAAAAAAATAAATAATAATAACAACAACAATAATAATAATAATAATAATAATAATAATAATAATAATAATAATAATAATAATAATAATAATAATAATAATAATAATAATAATAATAATAATAATAACAATAACAACGGTTGTTACACATTATACCACAGAGTTTTACTGATAATACCTATTCAATTCAATGTAGTAAAATGTGTGTTTTATGATGTGATGTGGGCAACGGCCTTAATCATTGAATAAACACTGACTTATTCATTGTATTCAAAGTAGTAAAATGTGTGTTAAAGTGATGTGGTGAAATGGTATGGGTTTAACGCCCCTATCAACACTATTAGGTTATTTAAGCGGCGGGACCTCCAAGTTTAACGTCCGTCTCCGATAGGACCGAGCCAAGTGGGAAGTTCATGTAAAGTGCCTTTCCCAAGGACACAACGTCGGACCGAGCTAAGGCTCCAACCCTCGAACCTGCAACCTCACGATTACAAGTCCGGTAGCCTAACCACTAGGTTACCGACGCCACATAAAGTGATGTGGGCCAATGGCCTTAAACATTGAATAACCACTAACTGACATACTGTATTCATTGCAGGCGTGTTTTTACACCCACATTGGCACAATTGAGACCTGCTGGTCAACAGCCCGGGATGAGAGATATATAGATACAACGGTCCAGCGGAAAGTCTTAGGAGATATAAGAGAAAGATACTCACTGCCGTAGCCTGGTCTTTTGCGTGCAACAGGGTGGTGGGTGGGGGTGGGGGGGGGGGCGGTTTCTTTTTTCCTCCTTATAATTCACATTTTGTTTATCTATTTATGTTTTCATCTATTCGTTTATTCATTCATTCATTCATTCATTCATTCATTCATTCATTCATTCATTCATTCATTCATTTATTTACTTGTTTCTTTCTTGATTTATTTGTTTATTTATTTGTTTTGGGTTGGGTTTTTTTTACCTTCTTGTGATTTTTAGAGCGGCCTGTGTTACATACTAATTAGTGTATTTTAGTCCCAATTTTAAGTAGCTTGCTACTTTTCACACTCGACAATATTTTGTTGTTTGTTTTGTTGTTTTTTCTCCAGGAAAGACATCGACGTCGTATGCCTCAAGTGCCACGGAAACACATACCTCGTGGCACGCTGTGAGGGGAGCAGTGAGCCACGCTCACATTGCGAGTGAGTTATCCTCTTCTAAGGGTAGAACCCAAGGACTACTATACTCAAGGACGTGCACCGTCGGATTCCTGACTTGGCTAGCGAAGGCCATCATATAAACATGTCCAACTTATCACTAGGCACAAGATACATTTCATATTGAGTGTGAGAAAGCTAAAACCTGTTGTAATGTTGTTGAACGCAATATTGTAGCATAGTAATACATTTTATTTCTATATTTTTGTTATGTCAAGCAGAAATATTAGTATGAAAAGCATTTAAAAAATGTTTGCAAATACAGCAACAAGAATTAGCCTTACTCACCAAGTGAATCCGCCTTACGTGCCTACTTGATGGATGTCTGTAGCAGGGCTGCATTCTTTTGGTGATCCTTCTCTACATTGTGCAGACCGCGGAGTAAGACATTTGCGAAATGACGGAGTAATTTCTTGGACTGAGTATAGTAGTCCTTGGTAGAACCATAGTAACGCCCGACACCCACAGTCAGACCAGACCCGCCGTTTTCCGTCGAGTGCGGCCGACCATATTAACACCGGAGTTTGGCGGTCAGACACCGGAGTTTGGCGGTCAGACACCGGAGTTTGGCGGTCAGACACCGGAGTTTGGCGGTCAGACACCGGAGTTTGGCGGTCAGACACCGGAGTTTGGCGGTCAGACACCGGAGTTTGGCGGTCAGACACCGGAGTTTGGCGGTCAGACACCGGAGTTTGGCGGTCAGACACCGGAGTGTGGCGGTCAGACACCGGAGTGTGGCGGTCAGACACCGGAGTTTGGCGGTCAGACACCGGAGTTTGGCGGTCAGACACCGGAGTTTGGCGGTCAGACACCGGAGTTTGGCGGTCAGGCACCGGAGTTTGGCGGTCAGGCACCGGAGTTTGGCGGTCAGACACCGGAGTTTGGCGGTCAGACACCGGAGTTTGGCGGTCAGACACCGGAGTTTGGC